CCCTCCCGCGCTAGCCTAAGGGCCACCTTAGCAAAGCGCATCCCAGGCTGCATAGCCGCACTACCCTACCCAACCATACCACACATAAACATGACACTACCCCCGGGGTTTACACAGACGAGCCGGCGAAGCAAGAAGAGCGCCAGAAGAAAGGGCCCTAGCCGGCGGGGCCCAGCCAGGACAAAAGGAGGTCCCACAAAGCGCCTACACCGGCCGCATTTGCGGTCGGGGTAGACGACGGATGGGGCCCACCTACGAAGGCTGTCCAGGCCTACACGAGATGAGGCAGGATAAAGAGGGATAATCCCCCTCGATCCCAAATCATTGAGGCCAATTTCTAGCCATGGAATAATGGCGCGGTTCACCATTTCCGACATTCGTTGCAAAGATCCGAGAGCCGGGACGGATTTTTGAAAAGGAACCGTTTCACTTGGCTCAGTACAAAGAGCCGGCTCAGTGAACCGAATCAGTCATGTTCCGCCCATCTCTACTCTGCATTTATCGACAAACATTTTGACAATTTGGAGTTCAATTTTGAGTTTTGACAAAAATCAGGAAAGAGGTTGACACTGACATTTTTTGAGAATTTGTGAAGATATTTGAGATATAATTATTATCTAAAAGAAATTAAGTAGAAACTATATAAACCTCAATGAGTGGTTACAAACATATAAAAAGGGTTTACAGCAGTAGTGTAGGATAACTAAACTTAAAAAATGTCTGAAAATAAACAAGGGGCTCAGCCCCCTGTAAAAATTGGTCATTACATTCTAGGCCAAACTTTGGGTGTCGGCACATTTGGTAAAGTAAAAATAGGCGAACATCAGCTAACTAAGCATAAAGTGGCTGTTAAGATTTTAAATCGTCAGAAGATTAAAAGTTTAGATGTGGTTGGTAAAATTAGAAGGGAAATTCAAAATTTAAAACTTTTCCGCCATCCTCATATTATTAAATTGTATCAAGTCATAAGTACACCGACTGATATTTTTATGATAATGGAGTATGTTTCTGGTGGTGAGCTATTTGATTACATTGTAAAACATGGAAAATTGCAAGAACATGAGGCTCGAAGATTTTTCCAACAAATTATTTCGGGTGTAGATTATTGCCATAGACATATGATTGTACATAGAGATTTAAAACCTGAAAATTTACTCTTAGATCACAATATGCACGTTAAAATTGCTGATTTTGGACTATCTAACATGATGATGGATGGTGAATTTTTAAGAACCAGTTGTGGATCACCAAATTATGCAGCACCTGAGGTAATTAATATCTTTTGTTACATAATTACGACTTTTGAAATAAAGTTGTTTTAATAGCGAATCAAAAAATGTTTTTGGTTACGTTTTTACTCACTGTTTTCAGGATAACAATTAATGCAAAATATGAATTTTTATCAGGTCATATCAGGAAAACTATATGCTGGCCCCGAAGTGGATATTTGGTCATGTGGTGTAATTCTCTACGCATTGCTCTGTGGCACTTTACCATTTGATGATGAGCATGTTCCTACTCTTTTTCGAAAAATCAAATCTGGTATATTTCCAATTCCAGAATATTTGAACAAAACTGTAGTTAGTTTATTGTGCCAAATGTTACAAATTGATCCAATGAAACGTGCTACAATTGAAGATATTAAGAAACATGAATGGTTCCAAAAAGACTGTCCAGCATATTTGTTCCCTTCTCCTGTAGAACAAGATTCTTCGGTTATTGATATAGAAGCAGTTAGGGAGGTAGGTAATTATTTTAGATGTTGTGCATTTACTTTTATTGTGTGGGGTTTGTGATGCATTTTTCAGATTAGATTATTAGTGTATTTTTATATTACACTATAGTAGGATCGTATTCAATGCAAAGTAGAGCAAAAAGTTGTTGGTCTTTTATCAAAGGAAAATCGTATCATCATTTTTAGGAGGCGTAAGATGAACCATTACAAATTTAAAATGAAATTGAATATAAAATCTGAAATACCACTGCATACGCACTGTGTTCTGGTAGTAGCTGTAGTTGCCCAGGTGCATCTAGTGTACGAAGTGGTCGGTTATACGTCAAATACTAACCTGGCAAGCTTGGTTGTAAATCAGAGCGCCTCCAAAAAACAAGTAAGCAACAGTGGCGTGTACAGAGGTAAAATGTAGTACATATGTGGAATTTAAAAAACAAATTGGATTTATAATAAATTACATTTAAAATAAATACTTTATGAGAATAAAGGATTTTTTGTAGGAACAAGGGTGCCAGACGTGAACTGATCGCCTCGTCCCTTCATAATGTATAAAGAAATTATTTAATTTCTAAAACCCTTAAAAGCATTGAATCCCTTGACAGGCAATGATTTATTACTGCATCGAATATGATCCTATTATAGAGTTTAGTTATGACATTCAGGGACAGTGAAATTACATTGCTTTAAAAAGAACAATGTAATAAGCAAATTGAAAATTATGTACCTATACATATATAGGAATATTCACATAAAATTCTACTTGATTCTTTTTATTTTCATATTTAGAAAAAGTTGGTCGGGTCAAAGTTTTTGGAAACTATATTCTGGTTTTAAAGCAGTACTTTTTTTTAAATAGAACATTCTGTATAGTTTTATATATTACAATATGAGAATTCGGAGATATGGTCATAAGTGTGTGCCATAAATGTAATGTATTACATATACAGGGTGTCCATTAAAGAATGGGACAAACTTTACCACTAGATTCTACGATGAAAATTAATGGGGAAAAGTCATATACAATGTTGCTCATAAATGCTTAGTTTTTGAGATACAGGGTGTTGAAGTTGAAAAAATAAATAACATTTTCTTTAATATCTTTCGACTACTTCGAGCTAATTTCGCGAAATTTTGTATCCGGTGGTTTCTTGGGATGAGAAATTCGAATTTATTTACGATTTCATTGTATTTTCTAGAGGGCGACACAAGTGACCATTAGGATGCATTTAAACTGTCAAAACTTTTTTGTGCCACGGTGTGTTGCATTTTGATCTGAAAAAATCTTTTCCACCAACTTTTCTGCTTAAATAAGGTATACCTTGTTAATATCTCCAAAGCCAACTGTTTCCAACAAAAAGACATTTAAATTGGTAAATGCATAAAAAAATTTGTTTAAACGTTACTTTCAACACTGACACATAACATTACATAAATTAGGAGCAATCGTTTATTAGCAAGAAATATGCCTTTAAAGGAAACAGTGCAATTACAATTTTACTGCAAACAGAATTGACAGAGTAAAAACATACTTTCTAAAAACAATCTAATCAATCTAACACAAACTAAACATTGTAACCAATCTAAACAACCTAAAAATCTAAAAATAACTAATTATTATTGATCTGACTTAAAAGATATGTTTTTCAGTGTTTATCAGTGGAGTTGAAAATAACTTTTAAACACATTTTTTTATGCATTTACAAATTAAAATGCCTTTTTATTGACCCTCGTTAATGTACATATTTAGGTTTCCTGGTAGTACAGTACTGCACTTCATTTCTTTGTGTCACTTCTCAGGAGAACACTTGCATTTCTGAAACCCTTTTGGGGTGGAAAATGACGATTTAGAAAAAAATTTTTTTTACTAAGTTCAGTTTTCGGCATAGAAGCGAGATCAATAAGAAAAAGTATACTATTCGATTTAAAAAAACTGAGTTCCGGTCTGAATAGGCCACTTCTGGTGGGAGCCGGAAGATGAAAATACCTCCAATTGATCTGGCATAGTCCATTCACTATTAGGAGATATTTCATTTTATTAGATCCCTAGATTTCGGAAGGGGTGGACGGGTGGTCTGAAACACCCTGTATATGTATATATATATATATATATTTTTTTTTTTGTGAAAAATTTGATTTGGATTCTGTTTCTTAGGTCTGTGATAAATTTGGTGTGCAAGAATCTGAAGTTCACAGCGCTCTTCTCAGTGGAGATCCTCATGACCAACTCGCAATTGCATACCATTTAATAATTGATAATAAACGGATTGCCGATGAAGCCGCAAAGGCAGAAATAAAAGACTTTTATGTCGCCGGTAGCCCACCCCCTGTAAGTATGAGTCCAAGTCCAGGCGACTATGGTTATAGTCCAATGAAGCCACACCCCGAGAGAATTGCCCCCTTACGGCCCTGGCCAAGTTCAAATCATCCTGCTTTGGGAGAAAAAGGAAGAGGTTAGTGAAACTTTTTGTGTTTTATCATATTTTAAAACAGTTTAAGTCAGACTACATAAAACTGATCGTTTTCAAGTAAAATAAAAAACTGAACAAATTACATGTTTCTTATTAAGTTATTTAAATAATAAGTAGAGTTTGGGGCACATTTCTCATGATAGAATCAGTTTTTAAATCATTTCAATTTAAATAACTATGTATAAAAAAATTGGAATCTCATAGACTCTCATTATATGAACAGTATTGGATGATGTAAAAAAATAATTCAGTTGGTATTCCGATTAAAGAAAAAATACAAAGCCTTTTGGAAAAAATCCTAGATACATTTTAGAAAATATGAAAAATTCTTATTGGTACAGTGAAAATCGGTTATAAGGGCCTTCAAGGGACCGTTCGTTTATGGTTGTTATAACCGATAGCGTAATAAGCAATTACATATATTTTATTTAAAATTTTGCTTGCTTGCATTAGTTTCTCCGTTTTCTGGTCTCTATATTATATGCGATATTTCTTCTTTATTAAACACTTTTCTCTTCGACATCATGATAGAAAGTGGCAATTAATACACGTAATATAACTGTATGCGTACATAAGCCATAATTGATCCCAAACCTACTAACTGGTGTCAAAAGCGTGGATGCCGGCGGGCCGGACGGATGAGCGGTGCATTAGTTTTAAGGCCGTATATTACTATTGGTTGTTATAACCAACAGACTCTATGGTAAATGTATATAACGCGTCGCTAAATCCGAAATGTCGTAAACGGTGTCGTAGTAAACGATGTTTTTAATATGGTATTTCTATAGGATTTAATCGAGACTTCCAAATTCCGTTGTTATATCCAATATGTCATATAAACCAATTTTCAATATATATTAATTTATACAACTTCTCGTACTGTTCTTTGTCAACAATATGTATTGGACAGTTGTTTTTCTTGCACATATTTCACTTGGATAATGGAGAAAAGCATGCGATATATTTAAAGTCAATATTCTTTTACATATTTTCTTAGCTTTTAGTTATATTATTGTATCACAACATATATTCTGTGAACATACTCATATTTATATTAATAAACATAGTCTGGTTCTGTTATGAGCCTTGTATTCTATAACTCGGGTAATATGTTAGAACGAACTAATCATAAAATTTCATTGATTCTACATTTTTATGCAAAAAACTAATGGTTCTAGTTCTTTTTGTAATAAAGCATTTTTTGCATAATTTTCAGTGAAGAGAGCTAAATGGCATCTGGGTATAAGATCGCAAAGCAAACCCAATGATATTATGATGGAAGTATACAGAGCAATGAAGGCACTTGATTATGAATGGAAAGTCATGAATCCCTATCACGTTAGAGTTAGACATAAGAACTCCCTACAAAATCGTTATGTTATGATGGCTCTACAATTGTATCAAGTCAGTAATGAAATAACTAATAAGTGATTGATCTTATAATGAATCTTTTAGGTTGATTACAAAAGTTATTTGCTAGATTTTAAGAGTCTAAGCAATGAAGAAGTTGAATCTAATAATAGTGGTATTTCTGTTAACATCTTAGATTCGGTGCCTACACCTATTATATCAGGAGCTGCAGCTACAAATGCCAAGTCTACGGGTCATCATACTATGGAATTCTTTGAAATGTGCGCTGCTCTTATTATACAACTTGCTCGTTAAGTCATTGCATTTGGTATATAAAAAAGTATTTACAAAATTCAGCTTTGAAACATTAGATTATACGTTTACCTCTATTTTCAGAATTTCTGAATTTCTGTTAGAGGTTTTGATCATAAATTTCAGTATACAATTTAAATTTAGGGTTAAAAAGAGTGGGTAAGTTTTTAAATTCATTCATTGTAAAAGCACATATTGCTTTTTTATTAAATAATTTTTAAATCGCTAATAAATCATGCAGGGTGTATATCAATTTGGAATTGTCAGGGAATTTTATAGATCTGGAAATGTCGAGGAAATATCAGGGAATTTTTCAAATTTTCATAGAATTTTTTCAAACTGCATTTTAGTCAGTCTTTATTTACAAGGTGTTGCCACTGGACGCCACGTTACTGAAAAGTAAATTCTCTACCATTAATTTTACAACATCTATTTTTACCACCTGTCATCCTTTTGTTGATCGACTCTCAATAAGAATTAGTTTATACTATTAAGTGCAAATTAAATATACTGGTCAGTTTTTAATTTAAAAGAAAATGGTGTAATCGGAGAAAATTAAATTTGTATTTAAAAAAATATGAGCATTTATGACCAAATTCGATATAATTTCTTAATAATTTTACCAAAGAAATATTTTCCGATTTTGTTAGCATTATTAATAACACTTAGAAATTAACTAAAAATTCTACATGCTTAAAATTCCCTAATTGTGCAAATTTTATGGTGACCACTATATCATTCTTGAAATACTACATATTTTGTTACATATTACTAAAAAAAATTCAATTAATTATTAATTCACAAAATTCATGAATTTATTGAAAATATTGCACTCAGTCTAATTTTGTATTGTAATTATTCAATTGGGCGAAATTTGCATATTAATATTTGTTTATTACATAAAAAATAATTACTTAGAAGTAACCTATTAATTTCAGGCCTGAGGGTATGATGCACAGTAGCAAAATAGTGGAATGGGAGTACTATGGGTTCTCATCCACTGTACATTTTTCTTATTCTACATCAAACGTACTTTCTCTTTAATTTGTACATTTACGGAGTCAAGTAAAGTCTAGTACTTTCTTTTGCTACAGAATATATTTCCTGATCTATTTTTACAAAAAAAAATATTTGCCATCAAAATACAGTTGCTGTTTCTATATTTTTGTTTCTTCGAGGTGTTAGGCCAAATTAGAGTAACTAAGCGGGGTAGTGCAATGCAAATGCAATACACAAAAATTGAGGACATGAAAACGATGGGGTGTTTGCCACGTTTACAGATATTAACCAGGCGGGTAGCTAGAGGAAGGCGCTGGGCCCCCTCCCCCCCTGAAAAAAAAAAAAACGATCCAATTGGTCGGACTAGTCGGCTGATTATCTGGCCACTCAAGGCCCACTTCAAGCAAAAATCCTATGCCCATGATATTAACAGAAAGTAAAATGTGACAAAAAACTTGTCAAGTATTTTATTTTTAAATAAAATTAACACGTTTGCTGCCCATGCCGACACAGTGTTGGCGCTCGGGTTCGGCAACTGGTGTCTCCGCCGCCACATGTGTGTCGACACTGACGGTTGAAAATATAACCACCCGCTTAGGAGTGGCCTCCACGGTTGCGAACTAGGTAAGGGCACGTTGCTAAGACCCCTATAAGGTTATTTACGTGTTTGGTCCGGGAGATTTATTTTATTACAAGAAATGGCGGACAATGCAGTTCCAGGGCCATCTGGTGCACAACAACTTAGAATAACAAACTCAAAAAACTGATTGAAGATGAAATGCTGGCTTTTGCATATTATAGTGATTCGGATGAAGAACCTTTTCAAGATTCAGGTAGGGAGTGAAGCGGAGCAGAAGAATTAGCAGGAGATTTTGGAGACGATTTAGGCTATCCACTGTAGCCACCTCTAGGCATTCAAAACGAAGAATTAGACCCTGATTTGTGCAATATACATGATCAAATTTTATCATTTGTCGCCAACACTGGTGCGTCACTGGGCTCAGGGATAATATATTTTTAAGCAGTGCCCCTGACGCAACATATGCGACGGTGTAGTTTTTGAACTTCAATTCTATATTTCTATATTTTTGTAAAAATTGTTACTAATAATCCCAAATTAGTTGATTGGGATTGCCGAATTACATACAGTATTTGATGGGTAGCGAACGTGTTAAAAGAAATATAAACCTAAGTGTTTAGTTTTTTGATGCAAACACCCCATTATATTCTTTTAATTCTGTTATTTTTGGTTCCAATAGATCTATTTATGAAGTCGAATTGTTTCCATTAATATTTCTCAAATGAATTTAAAAACTTCTCCAGGTATTTTTTAACTACCTTTTGTATAAAATAAACGATGTAAAAAATACCTATTAAGACATTAGTTTTTTATTATTGAAAGGGCCGTTTCATGGCTCTAAATAATTTGTTGATATGATTATAGTAGCAACTTTATTAGTGATGTGATAACACTAAGCTAAAAAAGTTATGTACATGTATATATATATATTTTAGTTGCTCAGTGTTTTAATATATTTTAAATTTACATACATATATAGTTTACTTTATTGAACCAACATTCTATTCAAAGTTAATCTTCCTTAGTAGAATAATACATACAGGGATCCTGTTTGTATATTTAGTTAGTCCTATTTGCCACTTCCAAACTTATTCTTGTTGTTGTGTACTTTGACAACTTATTTTTTTAAGATTCCGTGCGTTTGTAGAGAGGTGCTATGGTCTAATGAATGTATACCCTTTTTACAACGAATTGTGTTGAAACAACAGTATTCCGTCAGTTATTTCATTTTGTTAAAAAGGTAACATCAAAAACTAAACAGAAAAAAAGATTTTATTTTGGTACTGCATATAACAAATGACAAAATAAATTTTGTAATATAAAAACATAATGAAAGCCATCCTTTAAAATTTTTTTAACGTTTATACATTTAAAGTTTTGTTGTGTTAGCAGTTCATTTTTTCTTCTTTTTTTCTGCTAATATTTCTAATACTCGTGGAACTTGCTTTAACAGTTCTTCAGTGCTCAAGTTAAAATCATTATCTGCCCAATAATGTTTCAGTTCAGTCATAACTAAACCCATAAACCTTCCACTTTCTACACCATGTTCTTTCAACATATTTCCACTAATTGGAAATTTTGGAATATCCCACTGCTCAAATTCTTCTAAATATGGCGAGTTATTATATTTTAATACTTCGGTAGCCATCTTTTTTGTATCTAAAGGCTTAGATTTTGCTTTTAAAACTAGTTGCTGAAAGGGCATTAGGGGTTTTGGATGTAATTTTGGTTCCCTATGTGTCACAACAAAGAGGCCCAATTCCCTTTCAAATGCTGATAACTTTAATCTAGCATTAATTGCTAATACATCCTCTTGATTAGTTAACAGAGAAGATAATAGTGTTATAGCGTTAAGTTTCAGATGGCCACTACGTTTCCACACCCTCATTAGTTCGTCAGTTTTTATATCCTTTGGTAGACCTACAATGGTAATTCATTTGATCCAACTATATTCTCAAATTTTGTAATAAATCAATTTAGATACCTATGTATGGTGTTATACCACTTTCTACAATAGTGAGCATTAAATCTCCTGCATAATTGCCCTCTAAAATTTTCTTTAACTCTGTCCAAATTCTTTCGCCAGAAACACATTCTAGACCCGATGCATTTTCTCGAATTGCTTTTAATGTTGCTTCGTCATGATTGTTTGCTCCCTTTGCCATTCTTCCATAGAATCTACAATATGTACCTATAAGGTATATTGTTTGATTTTGAACTCGGAACACTTTTTTATTAAGAGTATTTGTATATACTGTTTTATTTATAATTAATTTTAAGTGTAGGAAAAAACATTTTGTAATAAAAATACAAACATTTCAAAATTTTGCCTAAAACAGGTAATTTTTATTAAAAAATTAATTTTTCGTTACCTGAAATATCGCAATATTCTTAAATAATCTTCCTGAATCCTAGTAACTGGATCGCCAACAAAAACTATTCTACGATTTTTTAAGTCATCATATCCAAAGAAATAATCATAAACAGATCCGTCAATTCCTAAAAACATTGAATTTATTGTTAAATCACGCCTATGGGCATCTAACATCCAGTCTGTTGTAAATTGCACTTCTGCATGTCGGCCATCAGTTACTACATCAATTCGTAGCGTTGTTACTTCAAAATTTTCTTTATCATTTATCCTTGGAGTAATAGTACCATGTTTTTCGCCATTCATATTAATTAGACGAACATTTTCTGTAGTAAACATATCTTTCATTTGCGATGGTGTAGCGGTAGTTGCAAAATCTAGATCTAAAGGTTTTTTGCCCATCAAGAGATCCCTCACTGCTCCACCTGCTATTCGAATTTCATAATTATATTTTTCAAAAAAAGAAACTAACTTGTTTAGTTCCTCACTAAAAATTGACTTAAACTCTGGAGAATCCAATTTCATTATAACCGGGTCTTTTCTTGCCTTTGAAAGTGCCATTTTGCGCAAAATGTTGAGTCTTTTATGCGGTGTCAAATGGTCCAACTACAAATGAGTATTTATACATCTTTCAGTTTTTAAAATCTTGAACATACTTGAATACGTGTAGAGTAAAACTGTTTAATAATTTCTGAACAACAATTTAAAACTAACTTACTACGTAAATGCATTTTTGAAAACTAAGACATAATTAATAGGTTAGGTCAAGGATTTTATACAATAAAATTGTATAAAATCCTTGAGGTTAGGTTACATTTATTAGCTGCTTCCATTTGACAAAGTTGCTTTCCAATTGCCAAAAAGTGTACTTCGGAAGTACTTCAAGAACATTTCACAATAGCTTTTTGCGTTCCAATAAATTACCCCTTGACACACCACCTTTTACTCACCGCGCCATTATTCTATGGCTAGAAATTGGCCTCAATGATTTGGGATCGAGGGGGATTATCCCTCTTTATCCTGCCTCATCTCGTGTAGGCCTGGACAG